TATGTGCATGCAAGTAGGTGGCACATTCAAATGCCAACTATTGTAAAAGGTTCCATCTCAATACTGTCTGATGCTGGTCTAGGAATGGCCATGTTCAGTCTAGGTACTTGTTATGAACCCTTTATTTATTTCTTTCCTTTCTTACAATACATATATATATATATATATATATATATATATATATATATATATATATATATATATATATATATATATATATATGTCTTTCTATAAAAGGCTAAATTATATGGGAATAATTGTAATATGATGCATTTGTAATCAGGTCTGTTCATGGCATTACAACCCAAGATCATTGCCTGTGGAAAATCTGTGGCAGCATTTTCTATGGCTGTTAGGTTCTTGACAGGTCCAGCTGTTATTGCTGCAACCTCCATAGGCATTGGACTCCGTGGAGTTCTTTTGCATGTTGCAGTTGTCCAGGTGAAATGAAAGCTTCTTTAGTTAACTATCTATTGATCAAAGTCTAATAATGTTGTTATTAACTCTTAGTTGTTTATGATATGGCCTATATATTGCAGGCTGCCCTACCCCAAGGTATCGTTCCCTTTGTGTTTGCTAAAGAATACAATCTCCATGCAGATATACTTAGTACTGCGTAAGTGTCTTTTTTTTTTCTCCACTCTCATGTCTCTTATTTATATTCACTTGGTTAAATTAATGACTTCTATATTTCTGATCTGATAATTTTTTTATTTTAAAAATTTGTTAATGTCAGATTGATGTTGACAAAAATGTACAGAAAATTGATTAGATGCAGATGATTATAAATTAAAGAAACTTTGCAAATTGTGCAGGGTTATATTTGGAATGCTGATTGCATTGCCCATAACCATACTCTACTACGTGCTGCTAGGACTCTAATGTATCTTGGGAGGCAAAAACGAATAGAAAAAGAAGTATGATGCTGTAACTATACGTACTACGTAAACCCAAGGTCATCACGCTCAAGCGGTTGGTGAAGGGAAATGTAGAAGATATTTGATTTTAGATGTTAGAGAGGGAAAGAGAAATTATATATAGTATATAGTAGAATGCTATATATATATTAATTATTTATGATTCATATGAAAGTTTGGGTTTGATCTATTCCAAATTTCCAGCCCACTCTGAATTCTCTCTGTTTGTTAATGGAAAAATCTTTAGTTAGGTAGGAAAGCAAGAGATTACAACCTATGAGACGCGAAAGAGATCAATATTTTTATGTTGTTTTTGGTGACACTGATATCAGTGTAGCAACTTGCTCGTATTTTTTACTTTTTTTTTTATCTCGTGGAGATGAAATTTAATCTTTAAAATTACACATTCAGCATTTTTAAACTAGCATTTATGCTCCCTCTCAACCTCACAGAAAAGAAACACATTAGGTAGCAGAGATTTTAATTTTCGAAGAGTTGACTTTAAAATTCCTTCATTGATCAGAAAAAATTCTTACCAATTTACAATTGAAGAAATTAAACTTTCTCATCAATCAAATTACTGAAAAGCTTAGACTCTTTGCACGTAATCAATATACTGATAATCACATATAATACATATGGCTTATTAAACTTGTTTTCTGATTTTTTTAAGAAAATAAGTTTTATGAGGGAAATATATATAATGATGCATGTATCGAGGAAGGGAGCAATGCAATTAACAGCATTATATATACGTAGTAACGTTGGCTTTTTCAATAGTTTGTATATATGAATGCATAGTGTAAATAAACTATTAGTATAGAGTCAATATTGCTGGTTCAGTGCATCGTTCCAGTTGTTTTCATTTTCCAAAAAAGTTTGGTTACACTGTCCTTGGGATCCTATTCAACATAATAAATACTGAAAACTTCAGTCCCAAGCCATGTGACTTACAACGGATGATAAACGGCTCAAATTGGAGCAAAATTCTTAATTCATATGTTGCCCTTTTGTTAATTATAGGCGTAGTTGTTTGAGATATATTCCAAAAGCTTCATTTATTATAGTTTCAATAAATTGTCTTGTTCTGAGCCATACCATTCATGTCACAGTTAATGATACTCCTTGTTCTGAGCCATCCAATGAATGATATGCCCCCAACAGCTTTGGCGATTAAAGTAATCAACTTTATTATAATTATACTTACTACTCTAATAGTCAGAGTCGTGAAGAATTTCGTCTATTATTTACAAAGAGTTTATGTACAGTACGTCATACATAGATGCTATGAATCTAACATTATTCTTATTATCTTTTTCACACATGTATATGATGAAAAGCAATTCAAGTTGGCATTGAAGTGGATGGGAATGAAAAAAACCTGAAGGAAATTAGCATAACAAAACCCTTATGTTTAACATTAATTGGAACAAGAAGATATAAAAGGAGTCTTTTGGCTAAATTTGAGCATTACTTATTACACTGGTTGTTGACCAAAGAAAGTTTCTTGGAAATTACAGACAGCACTTAAAGCCGTGTCATCTGACAATTTGATTAAAAATCATAATCCCAAGTAGATACTGGTGAATTTATGAGAGGAATAAAAATAATGATTTGTATTTGCATTTGAAACATGACAAGAAAAGTCCATTAATCAAACTAATGAGATTAGATCAGAAACATGACATGTGCTTAGGTTCCTTACGATTTGATCAAATGATGTTGATCCCCTCCCCATTAGGATCATCCTGTGCGTGTGCCACGATGTTTAAGAAACATACAAGCACTGTAATTGTAGATTAAAGGAAGAACTAGTTTTCCATATATTAGTTTATTTTGAGATTAACACGTTGTATTGGTCACTGATCACGTGGAAGTCCAAAGGGGTGTCTTGTCTGATAGTTATTTCCAATGTGGAAGCTAACAGATTGGAATCGACAGTGTTGCACATGAAGGTTGTCTCAGTTGGTGGAACCTTTCAGACATGTGTTGAATAAAATAAGGAGTTAAACAGTTTGTGTAGACAGTGGAGAGAACATAATGCATCCACTGACAGCAAGAGTTCTGACCTAAATGGGGAAACCCTAATTGGTTTATTTGTTGGTCTGTGGGTGTTTCTTTGTTTGTGTGTTCTGCAAATCAATTTTAGACCAAGTGAATTGCATTCTTTGTTTACTAAGCTATTCAACTACAAATCCTGATTTTCCAAATTTTTTGTCATCGTATCCAAGACATTGTTAAAATTATTAATCAACAAATAAATATTTCAGCTCACAAATGCACCGTCTCTAAGCAAATCCTGTCTTCATATATATATATATATATATATATATATATATATATATATATATATATATATATATATATATATATATATATTGTGCTAACAATTACTATTCGAACCACTTAGTAGTATATTTATTATTCTTAATATATTTGAAAGAATCTTAAATCTTAGTTGTAGAAAAAAAAGTGTAATAAACACTCCCATCATTTCCTTTTATTTGTCATTTAAAATTTTCTCACATGTATTAAAAAAGTAATGAATAAAAAACTTTTACTATAATGAATTAAGACTTAATTAAGATACTAAGTTAATCTCCCACCTAACTAATTACTGTGTTATGAAATATGGTCCTAAAAAAATTTAGAAAAAAAGAAAAGAAAAAGAGAATGAATATCTAGATTTCATCAAAAGAAACTTTTTTTATAAATATAAATTGAAGTACTAATTAATAAAAATTAATAATTTTTTATCCTAATATGGTAATTATTGGATTTAAATAATGACACATAAAGTGAAAAAAAAAAAGGGTAATGTTTTACTCTATGTTGTAAGAATCGGCCCAGACTCCCCGAAATTTGTTATTGTTAAATTATATTATCTAATGTCATTCGGTCCAAAATTAAAAAAAATAAGTTTTACTTTCTTAACCTTTGTCTATCATTGTTTAATACTACCAATACTTAATTTAACATATTAGCATGACTTTCACACTTTAGGCTCCTTATATTCGTGCTCAAATTCAATACTAACTATTTAGTTCCAGTTCGTTACACAATTAACAATCTTATCATATACAATTAACTCTATTTATTTTCTCAATATAAACAATAATTTTTTTTTCACTAGCTCTCATTTTACCAATTTAAACAACAAAACACAATACCATTAAATACCATGCTTCGTTTCATCCTCTTCTATCCAAACATAGCCTCATTAGTTAATCAGTTAAAATGACAAAACATTGAAAACTAAGTACAAGGTTTCAGATAGTTCGAAGGTTTAGAGAACCCATTCTACTTAAAAAAAAAATGCTAAAAACATGTATATATTTTTTTAATATGCTTTATATTGTAGGATAAATATAATGTAAATCCAAAATAATAAAGTTCCTCTTAAAAAAATAAGAAAAATACGAGGCACTGTTTATTAAACCAAAAACCTCAATAATATATACCATTCATTGGAAATTTATAATAACTTTATTAATTTTTATTATAATTAATTTTTAAATTATATCAAATATTTATAACTAATTGACAATGTAAAACCTTTTTCATCAAGCATTTATGTGAATTAAACTAAAAAAATAATAAGGCAACTACAAATTAATGTTGTGAGGGTCTTGTTAAAGAATAATTCTCTCATGATCATTTAAAATGCCCTATCAACATGATTCCCAATATGTTCTTGATTTCTTAACATTGGTTATCTAGAGGCAAAAAATATAACATGAAAAGGTGCTTTATCAGATCAACAAATTACAAAGACAGCATAATTCCATTTTAACTTCAATTATTATTGAGAAACCTCTTCTCTCATTCCATAATGAGATGTATAGAAAACTGGGATGAGTATAGGAACAAAATGTAATTCTGTTTTCTGTGACAATTACAAAATGAAACAGTAGCTAGTATCCTACACGCCAGAAAAAAAAATCATAACTCACAGCAGGAAAAAAAATCATTTACAGAGTAGATAGGATTCCAGAAAAAAAAAAAAAAAAAAAAAACCACAGCAGGAAAGGGAAAAAAAATGCTTGGTTAATTATCATCTATTGTAGTGCAGTAGGAATTTTGTTAGACATTTTCTGCACTGTAATGTCCATTATGGGAATTGCCATTTTCTTTGTTTAGTTTAGATTTTGGTAAAAGGGTGGTCTGATGAGGAAATATCTTGGCTGTTTGCTGCTTCAGATTAAGGCAAGTGTATACAGACATACCAACAATAGCTGTAAATGCCCCGCAGATACTGATTATGCCTGGATTGGATCCAAAGAGATAATAGTTTCCCAGGAGGATAATGCATGTCTTAAATTGCCCAAGAACAACATGCGAGACCGCAGATGTAGCTCTGTAAATTGCAAGGAAAAAAAATACATGAATAAACTAGCCCAGTAGCAGCTAAGTAAACTACAATGTAAATAGAAACAGATATACAAGTAATGATCTGGTTAGAACAAGGCTAACATTAACATTGTCACAACCTTTTCACACTTGTTTACTTGTACTTCTGGCCATATAGTACACTATCAATATTAGGCTTAGAACGTATGATCAAAGTTTGCCATGTCTATAAACTTATTTTGAAATTCTTAGTACACAGAGGCTCACTATTATATTATATTGAAATTCTTGTTTGACGTTATTGATATTGCGAAAATTTAATAGAATCAGACGTGGAGAAAATATCTGGCTATATTCTAATTATAACATGTTAAAGGCATGTTTACTAAATATAAAACATGTTAGTGGCACAAAAAAGTGTAAATATTAAAAACAAACCATCTAACTAGCCCATAAATCACAATGATAATAGTGTTTTGAACCCTTAACTTGTTCGTTTAGAAGGAAATGCAAATTATAGTCACTAAAGAATCAAAGATGGTACCAAATGCCACTAAAGGCTACACAACTCTGTCACCTGAACAACTAAGCTTATGTCTCCTGAACAATGAACCGTTTAAAATAGAAATACTTGCTTGCATACTTTTTAACCTACTCAAGAATAAGTAACATCATGAAAGGAAGTTAAGAAAACAGTAGTGACCTCTATATTCTTTATGTTTGGCACATTGGAGGTCAGGTCATTAGTAAACGATCACTTAATTTGATAAAAACAACCTAGTAAAGTGTCAAACAAGTGACCTACCTACTATTCTACCAAAAACTGAAATTCAATTTCTTTTCACGGGCAAAATATTCAACATTTGAAGAGAGTAATACACACTTACCCTAGTGCTAAAGCCCCGGACAACTGAAGCAAAAATCCAAGAATGGCTGATGTGAGTATCACCAATGTGTTACTGAAGTTCCAATCAAAGGAAAGCACACCAGGAGGGTCTAAGCAGGGTAACATAGCAGCCAGAAAAATTAAAGTAATAGGTGTTGTTTTCCACATCAACCTGTTGAACAATCCACAAATAAGGCAAAGAAAGGAATATTGGTATGTAAATCAGCACTGGGAATTGTGAGAGAAACATAATATAATTTATAAAGATGCAATATGCTTATTAATGTCCTAAAGAATAAACAAGCTAATAACTCACGCCAAAGCAGTCCAGTTTTCTTGCTGCTGCAATCTGGACCAGAGGATTTTGTTTACAGCACTAGGTACAATCCACGCTAACGCAACACAGGCGCCAAAGAAATGGAACTGCAGATCTGTCACTGTAGCCACAGCAACACCAATAGATACCACCGTTAATGCTAAAGTCTGTAAAGTTTCAAATGAACTCAGTAAGCATTTCAATATTAATAATAAAAAACAAATGAGATAAGTATGAAAATTCTGAAATCTAGAGTCATCATTTATGGAGAAACCATTTTGACATACTACGGTCTACTCTGATGGCAGCACATCATTTACTTCTGAAACATAGCATACAAGCATCGTTGCAGCTGAAGTGTATAGGTTTGCTAATTCAATCAATGTTTTTCAACTGGCATGATGTTAAAACGAGAACAATAGTCGTAGTCACTAAACTTTTATTTTCAAGTACAATTTTGAACCGCACTTATAGGTCCTCAGAAGCACATATAATGTCATGAGAAATCGCTTTAAATCTACTGAAGCATTCAGTTATCCTCCGCAAACATATAGGAGCATAGATGTGTGAGGACAGAGGAGGGCATTCAATAGAGAATAGATACTATTTTTTGTTCAAACACTTCGCAACGAAAGGATGGAATTAGCTACTTGAAATCTGTTATTTTAGGTTGAAGATACAGATGCTTACATGAGTTCATCATAGAACAAAATGTGCACACATAATTCAAATCAATTAGTAAAAGGAAAAAACTCTTATTTCTACACGCCCCTGAACACTCTCTTAGTTATTCCCATCAAATGTACGTGCCCAGCCAAAGTGAATTTCATTTACCTTAGGCCAAGAAACTCTCTTCCTATACAATACAAATTCTGCCATAACTATTGAAGGTGTTACTGCAATCTTTGCCATCTGATAGAAACCAATACTGAAGATATAGATATTAAATTCATAGTACGAAACAAATACTTTAAATAAAAACATCATTGTTATATTACCTATTATACTTCAAGCTAACATTAGCAAGGCCAGTAGACAGAGACATAACAAATCCAAGAGTAAATAAAGCAGACAGATTAGTTGATTTTGAGGAAGGAGATGCAGGAAGCAAAGAAAACGCATTTAGTATAGCCATTAAGAGCCAGCTCACTACATAGTGAATTAGTGAGAGAAGAATAGGGAATTTGAATTTAACAGTTTGAAGAACCTGAAAAGAAAAATGAGAAAAAGTCAAGAAAAATTAAAATCTAAAATCATGGTTATTTTAAACTTCGACACAGAACACACTCCAAGCAGACAGAAAGGAAAGTAAACAAACCATTTTGTTCATGAAGATAATACTAATTGCAACTACAAAATTGAAGGCAAGTGCTGCGGCTGGACCACATGTACGATGTTGTTGTCGTTTTGCACCTTCAGGGGAACGAAATTCATTAAACAGTGAACCTCTTAAGTCTTCCAGTGCTCTTCCTGCAATGAGAAATAGAAGGTAATAGAAGACATTAGGGAAGGTTTCTTATAGAGATATAGAGTAAAGCAAAATATCAAGTATGCATCAGATTCATATTCATATTCTTATATATCAAGTATTGCCAAGGAAATTCAACAATTCAGAGCTGGAGGAATAAGACATGAACTTGAGTACAGATTGAAAGTTCATAGTAAGTATATAAAATTACAAATTCAACTCGTAGAATTCATAACGAACCAGCTCTAATAAAAAAATAAAAAAATAATTATCAAAATATAATATTGTAAGATTTGACTTAAGAAACAACCTATCTAAAACAGTGAGAATTGAATTAAACTTGACTACATATGATGGAAGTTGCAAAGGTTGGGATCTTAGAACTGCAATACGTTTTGAGATGTTTGCAATCAAGATACACACAGGTATTAGGTGTCATCAACAATTTACAATAAGGGATCTGTCAAATATAAAGAAATTTCAAATAAAAATGAGATTGAATTTTGTTTTCCCCCTCATAGGTGGGACAAAAGCGGGAGGTTGATGTGAAATTCAGAGTTGCAGCCCATTTCTAGGCCTGGACAAGGCTGTTGTTGGATTTCAACTAGGTGCAGAGACTAAACTAAAAAATAACAAAACAGTGTTTGGATGTAACGTTTTCAAAATCGATTTTGAAGAAAAGTGATTTATGTTTAAAGGCTTTTATTCTAAAGGAGTTAGTAACAAAACTTAATAGAATCTTTTTATCAAGTTATTTAGTCCATGTTAAAGACATTGAAATGTCAATTTGAAGTAAATTTTGTGCTGGATAAAAATTTTATACTGAGTTTTACTCTAAACTTGTTTTTAAAATAAAACCATTCCAACATAAATTGCTTTACTTTAAAGTTAATTTTAATCAACATGAAACATCAATTTTAAACTTAAAATCTATTTCACCAAGGAATCAAATAGGTGACCATACACATTTATCAAAAATAACTTGAACAAATATTTCAACTTATTTTGGATGATTCAACCTGAATCGAAACATGCACAAAATTCTAAAACAAAGTTACTAAGTTACTCTAACAAAGACACGTAACACGTATATGTGTATGACTATGATGTACCGATATGATAACCATATCAAATACGTATCAGGGTAATAACGATATGATTATTCTAAATATATATATATAAGAGGCAATACATATATATATATATATATATATATATATATATATATATATATATATATATATATATAGATAGATAGATAGATAAATATATAATTGTAGTAGTTCAAGTACAAAATTAAGAATGTATTTTTTTTAATGTATTAAAAATAACAATCATAAACCATTATCACCATAATTTCCTTTCCATTACTTACAGGAAAGAATGGTGCTGCGAATTTGCTGAAAGCATATGTTAAAGAGAACAATTTTTATTTTGATTCAACAATGGACAATGCTTCCGTGTTTCTATATGCATAAAAATTTATCAAATAAAATAAATATATAAATATATTATCAATCTCATTCTTTTGTTGAAATCATCTATAGAGGTAACAATTTTTATTTTTGTTCATTAATGGACAACCGTTCCGTGTTTCTTGCTATATTATATGTTTATACTAAATTTTCATAAATAAATTCTGATGAGTACCAAATGGTTAAAAGAAACGTAAAATATGAATTCCCAAACCCATACCCATTTTTGCATGTGACTTCAACAATGAACGAGAGATTACTGTAAACAGTGTAAGAAGTTCAGTATTCTGAAAAAGCTCAAAGTTTCTGTAAACAATGAGAAGTTGACGGAGAAAACATATGTACATTGTCTAATCTTAAACTTAAACCACTCATTGATAAACCCCAAACCCAGCTAAATGAAGAAAACTTGAAGCATTGTTGAACTCAAATATTCTAAAAAGAAAACGGTAAGAAAGGAATGTTGGGTGTTATAGAGTACCTCTTTCCCCTGCATCGCTATCTTTGCGCTTGAGAATCTTTCGAACGTCTTTTCTGAGTAAGAAATTGAACATTTTGAGAAGAGGGGAATACTCAGAACAGAAAGGAAATGGGAGAAGGAACAGTGGCACTTGGTTTGGGAGAGGAAGAATGAAGAGAAAGGACAAGGTAAAAGAAAGAGACAAAAATTTGCGCGAGAAAGGGAAGATGAACACGTGGATTATGCCGGTGATAGCGGAGAATGGCAACTGTCGGCGACCCCTTAATACCTCTCACATGACAAGACATCCAGTTTAACGTTGTCTTGTTGTTTATCTGACAAAACGGTGTCGTCTATGTACCCAATCAATGTGACGGCAGGGGTGATTCAGCAAACACTTTGCCAATAAAAATGTCCACACTTACTTTTGAATTTTTTTTTATTAAAAAAATTTAGGTTTCTCATTATATGTAATATATTTGTAAATTTTAATTAATAAAAATATTAAAAATTATAAAATGATTAAAACTGTATTCCTTGTGTTCCTTCTTTATCAATTGTAAAAAGCAATTTTTTGACCAAATTAGGAAAGCTCTTTTGCTTTTGGAACTTTATTTACCAATAATATCAGAATGCTAATGGTTAAATTTATTTATTTTAATTTTTATTAGCTAGCAAATTTGATATATATTTCTCATTTGTAGTTTTTTTTTTTCATTTCAAAAATCTATAATTTTGATTAATTTTCAGATTTTATATGTTTTTTTATTTTTTTATTTAATATTAATATTTTTTTGAACAAATTTTGAGGATACCTTTTGTACGATAGAATCTTTTAATTATTTTAGAATCTGAAATTAGAAATGAAAGTTTTCTTATGTTTGATTTGTGTTTTAAAAAAATAACATTCTTATTAAAACATATTTTGTGGGAATTTTTTTAACATAGTTTCCCATGAAATTGTTCGAGTGATGAGAATTAAACTTTCTCAAGTTGCTATTTTTTTTAGTTTAATATAAATATAATATTACTTTTCTTAAAGCATGTAATATCATGATAAATATTTAAAATCTTTGGTAAGAATATCATGTTATTGTTCAATTCTAAGAAAATTCATACAAAAAATTTTAAGAATATTTTTATCAACTAAATAATATTTTAGTCATTTTTAGGAATACTCGATCTTGACAATTAATAGGAATCTTGATTTTTGTTAAGGAAATTTGGCTTGTACCAAACGTTCTTAAGGGAGTTTGTTAGATTTAGAGTTCAATTAAACCAAAATAAAATAAATGTTAATTAAGAATGAGATCATGTTTTAAATTTTGTGAGATATAAAGATTAAAAGAACAAAACCAAATCTCAAATACAAATTTAAAAGAGAAACAAATTTACAGCTTAACCAAAACAATCTATTGGTTCAAAATGATTTTTTTAGGTGGTAGAAGACTCTGGTATTTTTTTATTTCATTTTCGGACGAAGTTTCGGTTTTGTTTCAAACTGATATACTAATATTAAAAGCAACTTATACTCAGTATATAATTAAATCGTTATTTAATTATTTAATAGATTCTTATTATCATTTTACGTCCCTTAAAATGTGCTCAAAATTTATATATGTTTATTGCTAAAATGAATATTAATTTTTCTTTTCTTTTCTTTTTGGGGGTTTTGTCTAACTGATAGTACATGTTTTTTTAGTACATTCCTGATTTTCAAACCCTATCGGTGCAGTTTATGAATTAATTAGTAGAGTTGTCAAATTTGGTCCGAAATTATTTTATTAGTGAGCTATTAATACATGAAATTTTATTTTTCCTAAATATGGAAGTTGAGAAGTAATATTTTAGTTTTCTAAAATGAAACTATTAGATAATTATGTTTTTAGAAATTATTTTGACCAATTTTATCAGAATATATTTTTACTGTAAGTGAATCTAATTTTTTAAATTAAAATAAATTTTACTCAATATCATTTTACTGTTGTAAATACCTTATGTATAGGAAGATCTGGGTTTTCCAAAGACATCTTTCATCTAATTATTAATTAGCATTCATAAACATGTTAAATTAAGTATTACTTCTTTTGATAAGAGAATCAATTACTACTTATTTTATTAGTTTATTTATTTAATTTTTTTCTTTTAATTATTATTATTTTATTAATTAACTTACTCATTTTTATATTCTATAATTTTTACCTTCTCATAATTATGTATATTTAGATAAAATCAAAAGAATTTAAATAATATAATACTAACAAATAAATTTAAACAAAATATCATAAAAAAATGTATAAAAATTTTATTCACTTGTATTATTATAACAAAATTAAAATTAAAATAACCTTTAAAAATAATGAAAAATAAAATAAAGTAAAAGTTATCTTAGAATAAACCACATTGTTATTATTATTTCTTTCTTGCAAATCTTTAGAATATATAGAAAAAATAGTACAAAATAAATAAATACAAGATTAAAAAAACTAGTTAAAAAGAAAATAAAAAAAGTTATAGAAAAATAAAAAATCATAATATTTCTTATTTTATATTTTTTTATAAGTGAAAATAAATAAATAAATATATAAATAATGTTCCTTATTTTAGTTTGTTTGTTCAATTTTTGTCTTAATTATTTATGATTTTATAATTTTTTACGTGTGAATGAAAAAAGAAAGAGTGATTAATACTTTTTAACATGTAAATTAAGGGCACAAATAAATAGTTTAATATATTACTGAGTTATCTGATTGGATACTAAATATTAAAAAATTGATTTATAAAAATATCGACAACAAAGAACAGAGAGACATACTACAATGATATATTATTAATTTTATTTAAGAGATATTAATTTATATTTAACAATTAATTAATTAATTATATTTTATTTTATTTTTTCTTATATATCTTAATTGGTAACGTAATTAATTATGTTATTTACAAATCAATTATAACCAATTAAAAATAATGTTTGCATCTTGTGAACACGCTTTAAAAGATTAAACACAATCTACTTAACTGGTTTTTTCTATAAATATTTTTAGAAGATCTAAATAGGAAAAAAATTAATCCTTTTATAAGTTAAAATTAATTTATATATAAGATAAGGATAGAAACTATATCTTATAACTTTTTCAATTATTTTAATCCATTCATAAATTTAATTTTTAGTTTATGAATAAGTCATTTTTTTCTTAATTTTTTATGTAGAACCTCCTCAAAAAGGTACGTTAATATTCATTTTTTCTGTTAGGGAACAAGGTTCGTTGTTAATGGGTGCTTCTTGTCACAAGATGTGAGTGAGCTCAGGTGGGTCCAGGGCTCCAACCGTGAGCTTTGAAGAAGAATTCAGTATCACTGATTAGCAATAACAACTAGTTCTTTGTGATGTTTTTGATGGAAACTCTTTCACAAGTTTGTACAGCAGGCATGCCTTGATGGGTGATGCATACGTCATGTTTGAAGAAATGTCTGACTTCATGGACATCAATTATTGCTGGACTTGTGCAAGACGGGCCTGCTGACATGTGTTTTGGAGCTTTTCCATCAAATGAGGGGTTTAAATTTCAGACCAAAAATTATTTTACATAGACTAGTCTTTTGGGTGCTTGAATGGACAGTGGAGCGCTGGGGGACATGGGACATGTGCTCATTGTAAAATAATCCACGTGAGTTTTCATTGTCACCTCCACGATAATAATAGTCTCATTTCCATGTATCCCAAATGTGGGGCAATTGATGATGCCTTGAGCATATTTGAAAATATGGCGGTCTGGGATGTTATCACATGGAACACCATGATCAGTGGCTATGCTCAACAACATTTCGACAGTTAGTGAATCTATATGCAAGAGTTGGTTTGTGGAATAAGGTATCACTGAGTGCGAAAATTACTGAAAGACAAAGGTCTAAAACCAAATCTTGGTTTTAGCTGGGTTGATGAAGTCGAAAGTAAAGTCCATATATTTGAAGCTCTAGATAAGCCAAACAACAGAATGACAGACATTCTTTTGATAATGAATATTTTAGTGGACCACATCACATGATTAGTTTAAACCTTCGGTATCAGATGTGTGTGTGTTGCAAATTCCATTCCAGTTCAGATTGCTGGAGGACTGGTTTACAAATTACAATATTAAGAGCATCTCAAGATTTTGGTTGTTAGCTTAAATTGTGACAAGTTTTACCAAAGGGTATTTGGTTGGTTGGTTAGTCTATCCGATTGAATCTTCTCAATGAGACGTGATTGAATTCCATGACTATGTTGTTCATATATACTTGTAAGTATCTAGAACTTTTGACTAGTTTTAATCATATGGATTTCCCAGTCATTTTTGGATTTGGCACGCTGAATAATCAAACATCGTTACCTGATTTTTTTTTTTTTCCTTTTATGTTCGTTATCATTGGCTTTGAAACATTAATCGTTGTGATACATGTGAATCACAAATGCGCAATAGTAAGTCTTGGTAACATGGCTGTCCATTTTGAAAAAGGATGCTGATATATTGACTACATCATTTACATAATATATCTCCTGGACAATCTATTTTAATAATATAATAATAATAATCATAATCTATTATTAAAAGGACAATTCCATTGCACCAGCATGTTCTTCATCAGGTCCGGTCGGCAAGATATCTAGCTGAAGAGACTAAGTCCAAGAAACAAGCTGAAGTATCTTCATTTTAAATCTGAAGTAAATTTGTTAATGTGTTGTTTTTGCTTTTGGAGAGTTACAACAGTTTCATACTTCAATTACATTCCTGGTTTCCCAGGCGTCGGAAAAGTTACGTATATTCACCTTTTTGTTTACACGTCTTCTTTGACCTCAATACCAACTTAAGGACAATTCTTCCTGCACCCCTGTGAATATTCTTACTGATTGATTGAAAACTCTTCGAATGATTAAATAAGTTCCTGAGATGAGATCACTCCCTCAAATACATTTACTTTGAGATGGAATAAATATTCATAATCATTTTGTTTCATCTGTTATTCATGAGCATACATACATACATACACGTAGTACGTAAAGTATGTTTGGATGCCAATTTAGAGAATTGGCAGTCCAATTAACGTGAGATAAGCTTCTCGGTTGAAATGTGTTAGAAAGTGTGGTGCGAATAAATCAACAGACACACACACAAACACATTGGCCCCAAAAGCATGAAGTTTATTTACAGACCAGAGCGAGGTTATAGCTATTACATACATATATATGTGAGGGCATATATATGCAGTAGTTGCTTACAGTAGTCTGGAACAAAAATCTAATAGACCCTGTCCATCCATGAAGCAAAAGGGGCTTACTACACAGTCTGAAGAGCCCACCACGGTTCCGATATTGGTAGAACGTAAACATAACGCTGCAGTGAAATCAATCAAAACTAGTGATCTTACTCATAGCGCAAAACGGCAAAGTTGAGGCTCAGGTGGAGAAGTAATTGCGGGGTGAGAAGAGGCGGCGAGGTGAGAACATGGCCGCGTAGCGCGGCGAAGCGAGGCTATCGATTGGTCTGTAATCAGGCATGATGAACGTCTCACGTTCCTCGCGGGGTCCACCTAAGGTGTGTCCGTTGAAGGTGGCATACCTCACCAGCTTCCCCACCCACGACTTCTTCTTGATGGGGCTCTGATGGCCGGCGTTCATCTTCTCGCACAGGTACTCCTTCACCGCATGCAACCCCTGCTCTATCACTTCCGGTGGCGGCGAACTCAGAGGGTTCCCTTCCACGCTTAGCTTCTGCACCTTCTTCAGGCACCCGATGGAGTCCGGCAAGGACCTGATCTTGTTGTAACTGACGTCGAGTTCTACCAGGGAGAGGAGCAGCCCCACCGAATAGGGTAGAGAATCAAGGTACTGGAAGTTCTGGCTCACGTTCAGGATTTCTAGGTTTACCAGGTTCTCGAGATCTTCTGGAAGAGACCTCAGGCAGTTCAAACGCGCGTCCAGAATCTTCAGAGCGGTCATGTGAGAGGTCGAGCGAGGAAGGAACACCAGCTTGTTCGAGTTCACTGATAGCTTCTTCAGGTTTATCAGCTCGAACCCTATGTTCTCTGGAAGCTGGATCAACTTGTTGAAGTTCGCATTCAGTTCATCTAAGCTTCTGCTAACTCAAATGTTGTAATGTATTAGTCACAAGAATGATAAACACCAATTTTATTTTTTACCTTTCTTAACAAAAATGTTTTTTGTATTGTAAGTATGAATAAAAAATCAAACATTTAACTGCATATTTAAGATTGTCTGCGAACTATGCATGTCACTGATGCATGTTGGTATTGATTTTTTTTCATTTTTTTTTTTTTGGTAGTAGTGCTACTTACTCCAGTGAGTGGTCAATAACTACTTACTAACGTAACTCGTGCATACATACCTCGAGAAATTACATTAATTACTGTGTGTGAAAGATGAGAGTATCATGTGGTTGTTGATTTCTTGAGTGGATAGTTGCTTTCATTTAAACGTGGGTATGCAAATATCAATTGTCTATTTGTCGTTTGGTGATGATGTCTGGTGATTCTTAGCTAAGAAAAAGATGTTTGAACGAATCCTATTCTTGCAAAAACTTGTTGGAAGAATAATGGTTCTCCACGGAACTATCATATCACTTATTGATTGACTTTTTCTCCCTGTTTTAAGAATTTTGTATTAGCCAGGTGTCCTCCATCTCTGGTTGTTTTTATGTAGTCAAATAAGCATAATGACACCCAAAGAAAATGGAGGGTTTTTGTTTTTGCCCGCTATTTGTGACAACGGCCCACAATAAATGCTTAAAAATTCCATTTTTGACAGGGATTTCTTGATAGAATATGGAGTCGTGCATGTTGAATAAAGTTCAAATATATTTAAGGTTATACTTTTTCTAATACTTTATTTTCTTATATTATCTTTACATATTTTATCCTGTTAAATGGGTAGGTATATGTTTAAGCTTATTCCATAGCCATGAATAATAACCATTACATATTTAGTATAATCAATTGATTATAACACTTTCAAATCTACTTGTGATATATTTGGGATTTGATTATTCTTAAGCATATCCTTGAAGTCCTAGTATATCAAGGGAAGAATAGATAAAATAAAAACTCACAAGCACATAAATCAAACCTCATCATAGCGTGTAAATGAAACCTACTCAAGTGCTTAGCACTGTTTTGTGCACTATGTCTTGTTTGATTAACGTGAGCTGCTTTATATAAAGATGGTGAAGTGCATGAATGTTTTAAAACTCAAACTAAAACGGAATCAACCAGATGTTTAGGTCACGGATTAATTAGTTAAATTTATTATTAAACTGTACATGTAATTAGATATTTGACTAATATAATACTTAAATTGAAAACGTACATATGATAAATTATTCATTGGTTTTAATTAAAACATGGAGTTGATTATATACATGTTTATTGTTCCTTCTTTCCGTACCCCTGGGGTTACTGACCTTATCCTGCTATTAAAAATGGTACTGCATTTCAATTTTGTTACTTTGAAAAGCCGTTGTTATTCTAAGAGTCAACATGCATAGAATTAATTAATTAACAAACATGTAAGGGAAAGTAGAAAGAGACGTTAAGAAGGTGATGTACCTGCAATTTTCAATTGTTTTTGGAAGGTATTCGATGAGGTTGCCAGAGACATTCAAAACCTTGAGCTTAGAGAGGCAGCCAATGGAGTTGGGAAGATACCTAAGTTGATTGGAGTGCACGTCCAACACCACCATGTTCAACAGTCTCGCTGTTAAGGACTCTGGTATATTCTATCAGAATATATATTCAAAATCAAGTGTTAATGAAAAATAAATTACAGTTTTATTTCTTAAAACCGAATAAAAAAACAACATACAAAGACAGTCACATAGGATTCATAATTACGTTATGGCGGCTACCTAATTAATTAACTAAGCTAGGGTATAGTTTAATTTAATTAAAAAGTTATGGCGGCAACCATAGGGTATACTGTAAGGTAAAACTACATCCACTGATAAATTAATGCCTATATATAAGACTATGTTAAAGTTTAACAGAAAATTAAATAATAAATAGGATTTTTCACTGATATAAAAGGGTACAATTTAACTGTTATGAATAGTCATAATTTAAATTAAGTAAACATTAAAAAAAATATCGAAACAGTATTTAATTTATATAGTCTTTAAATAAACTATTTCAACGTTCGTAGCTCATCTTACCATATCATATTTCAATCTTGTAAATATCCCTATTACCTAATACGTATACAACTTGTTATCTTTGGTTTTTTTATTCGAGTACATGACTAAACATCTATTAATGAATATACAAGGCAGCACGTACGCGTTCGAACAGAGGAGTCATCTACACAAAACATATTAGTAGCGATATATTATTTGTATAATATTTTTTACTATATACTTACGATATTAATTTCCATGTCTTTATCTCTTTTAATAACATCTATGATCTCACTCTACGTTTCTCCCTCTTTATTATTATATAAATGTCATTATAATCTAAAACGGGATCGAGGATTATTAAAAAAAATGTGAAAATAAACCTGTGTATAACCCAGATACAACCCGAAACAAAAAATATATAATATCTGATAAGTCTCTTTCTCTGTACTTTGAGGAGAAGGAGGAGGAATTATAAGTGCAAGGAAAAGCAAGTCGTATATAGATGCATGCATGATGATGTATGTAGATATATATGGTTTGTGTTATGTTGTTGATTACCTGAAGATTGTTATTAGAGAGATCCAACTTGCAAATGGTGGCTAAATTAAGAGAGGGGTTGGGAAGAGAGTCCAAGGACATGGCACTCAAGTCCACTATTTCAAGCCTCTCTTCCTCTATGCCTTTGCTTCTCTCCGCTTTCTTCCTGATATCCACCTTCACCGTCATGGGCTGCTGAAAGCGTTGCTGCTGCTCGTACATCATCTTATTCCGAATAAATGGAAATACAATGATCCAGTGATATTAAAATTTCCTTTTCTTGTTTTTTCTGGTGTTAGATTTTGTTTGAAGGATTGACCATGGTATATGTAATTGTAGGCCTGAAAAGGAAGAGAGGAAGAGAGGGAGAGTGAGAGTAATTGGGAACGGGAGAGAATGGGAGTTGATTGAATGGTGGAAAAAGACGAGAGCGGTTGGGTTTTTATGGAGAAAAGAAAGAGGATGTACGGATGAGAGGGAATAGAATAGCGGAGTGGGCGGGCCACTTGTCAGTGACGTATGATGCAAGTACGACAACCGTATGTATGTAGGCTTAGGATTGCCTGGCCACGTTCCTCACTTTGATCAAGTCAACTGTTTTTTTTTAATTTTTTTATCCACGTTTACATATAATAAGAAGTTAAAAACTTAAAATAAAAAGTTATTATAACATATATTAATTAGTTTTAAAGTGAGAATTATTCTACAATAAAATAGAGTTTTTTTTTTATTGAATTACGAACTGAATATTTTTATATTTATAATTTAGTTAGGTATGATATTGATTAACGTGATGCTCGATCCGACTTAATTATTAGGTTTATACTAATCAATTTCAATTAAAACTTGTTTAATCAATCTAATATTTTTTTCTTGAGTCAAGTCGAGTTAGTTGGATTTGACCAATCCATAATAGCCCAGCTTAAGTATTATTTTAACTCTATCTCAACAATCATTACTTATTTTAATTATTGTGACAATACTAATTTCAATCATAAAATAATACATATTATACTATATTAGAGTTTGGTTGATTATTTATAGTACCTGTATCTATTTCCTGTTTTAAAAAAGTATAAAGCAGTTTGGTTCTGACTGCTTTAAGATAATATTTGGTATAAGTACAGATTTAACATTTCATGAGAAATGGTGTAAAAATGGAAGTTTCGTGTTTGGGTAGGAAAATAAAATAATGAACAAACACAAAACTATTTTTCCCATAGCTGTAATTTTTTCTACCTTCATAAAATGTTCATCTTTACTAATTCTTTTGATGTCAGATTAACTTAAATTTTAGACTATTTACAAATACCTCCCATCAGTTATATGCTAGTAGATTTTTAATGTAATTAGTCAAATACATCAACAAAATATTAAGTTGTATTACAATAATGAAGAATTATTCTTAAACACAATATTTATTCCAATTTCATCAACAAAATAATAATAAAAATATAATATCGTCGTCATTTAAAAAAAAAATTAAAAGCATCAATATATTGCAAGTAAATGTATTAATTTTAAAATATTAAAGTTTGATATAGCCAACGTTATATTTTTTTAAAGAATAATACTAATTTATAAATTATATATATTATGAAAATGAATATAATTTTTTCTATTTTTTAATTAGAAATGTACATTCTCGATATTACTCTTTTCTTAGAGTATAATTTTGCACATAATCCGTAATTAGTAAAAAAAATTCTTAATTAATTTAATATATATATATATATATATATATATATATATATATATTATTTGTATACTTATTTCTTAATAGGCTAACTTCTTCAATTTACCATTTTCTATCTCCAATTTTAATTAAATTTATATATTTTTTAAGAAAACTATCAATGATTAGAAAAATAATTTTATTGGTTTAAATAATTTATGATGAATCTCAAATAATTATATATTTAAAAATAATTATTTATTAAAAATTTGATTTCTACAAAACAAATATTTATCTTGGAAAACATAGTTTAAAGTTTCAGTATTACTTATTCCTTAAAAAAAAAAAACACAACTATAATTGGGTTGTCAGTGAAACAAAATATTGAAAGAATTACTGACGGCCACGAATCACAGACAGCAATGTCAATGGTTTCGGACTTTGTCATCAAATCCTAATCAAAGTCAAATCCAATTTGATTATTCTTTAATCTCTTAATAAATATCTCCTATTCAATTTGAATGACCATTATATTAATATTTTAGTTTTTTATATACAATTATAATTATTGATCATAAACTTTTGTAGAAATTCATTTAAAACATATAAAATGGATTTGATAAAATCTAATAAATTTATATTCAAAAGAATCGTTTCTCTAAATATATGAATGGTTAATATATATTTGAAATAATTATAAAATAATAATAAATCTATATATATTTTACTTATAAAAAATGGACAAGGGTCTAATTGATTTTTAGATTTATTTTATGACCAATATATAATAATTTTTTAGAAAAATAAACATATTTAAAAAATGGTTTCTTTTAGATCTTTATATCGTTGTTATAACTTTTTCTATAAAAAATTAATAATTATTAATAAAATTATTTCTTATTTAATATACTATCATATTATTAAAAAATATAAAAATATTATTTTATTAAACTTAATTCTGAAAAACCTTAAATTTAATTCATGTACTCACTAATTTAGTGATAACAATATCTTATATAACTTCTGAAATGATAGCCACAATTAATATAAATTCTTATTTTGTTAATAATAAAATATTATGATTAGAATATTCCTCTGTTTATGATGAGAATATAACTTCGTATAACTGCAGTAACAGTGGATAAATATATATACAAGGACTTTAACCACTAATATATATATATATATATATATATATATATATATATATATATATATATATATATATATATATATATATAATTTAATTTTTCGTTTTATCATCAACTGATGTATGTATAATTTATCTGAACAATGTTCATAGTCTCTAAATAAAATTCCATTTTTAGTCTCTAAATAATCTTAGTTTATCAAACCATATTTGTTATTATTTTTAATGTCTTTCGTTAAACATACTATTAAACGATTTGATTGTCATATATGTGTGTATGTTTAGTAAGATTTTGAGTTCAATATATTTTCTAACCGTTATTAGGTGCTATAAATTTTTAAAAACCATCAAAATTACAGTTAAAAAAAGAAGAAGAAAAAAAGTAAAATCCTTAGCATCAAAACAAAGAACTGTCTCGATCATTAAACAAATGTTAACATTTAATCTTAGACAAACATGATAATAGTGACATGAAGAAAGTAAACACAAGGTGAATGATTACACAAGATTCTTGCATTTTAGATTGTTGGTTTTCGCTTGCTACTTCTCCTTCTTTGCCTCTATCTCTGCTAATTTTCAAATATTTTCTTGGTAGATTTACAAAAATTATAACACCGTAGAATCATTTCAAAAATTTTCAAACTAACAACTTTAACCATATCATTGTTAGATCATATATATTGCACTATCGCTTAACAATTATATTTGATAGAAATAGTATAAATAACGATCAGGAAAATAATTAAAAAAACTAATACTACAAGTTATTAATAGATTATAAGTGAATTTCACAAAAAGAATGATCAACCATTATGTTTATATATCTCGTTTCGAATTCGGATTTCATATTTATATTCCATAGATTTCTGTCTAGGAATAAAATGTATTTTTTTTTAAAGGTTAAAAAAAACTATTATCATACTATACTATAAGACTCAATATGAACTTCGTACATAATTTTAGTTTTCAATCTAACTAATTATTTTTAGTGAAAGCTCTATTTTTTTACAGCCTTTTTTATTATTTCACAATATTTGAACTCCAACTTATATAATATATAAAATATTCAAGATCAATTCTACTGTATAAAATTGAATATGAAATACTAGTGCATATTTTGATAAAAGTATAAAGTATGTTTAAATTAAGTGTCAAATTATTTTAAATTTAAGAAAAATATTTATTTATTTACTTATAATTTTTAGTATATTTCTATAGAAATGTTTATATTAAATAAAAAAATAAAAAAATATAGTAATTTTTATTAGTTTCAAATTAACTTTATATTTATTTTTAAAATCGTACTAATCAATGAAAATGTAAGTTGAATGTTTAAAGATTTCATATTGTTGGAAAAATAATAATAATAATAATAATAATAATAATAATAATAATAATAATAATAATCCTGATTTTGATTCTAGCGATCAAACATAAACATAATCTCATACTCGATAAACATGTTGTAAACTGAATGCAAAGCGTACACTGAATTAGCCATAATGATGATGTCTTTATAGAACACTATATTGATCTTATGGTCTTCTACCTGAAGAGCACATGTATTTCCCTATTGATTTTCTCTCTTGATGGGGATAAAAAGAAAGGAACGAGATTGATACTTACGTTCTGTGTATGTGCTCCCAGAAGGGGACCACGACCCCTTAAAATAACCAAAATTAGGTTAATTACTTAAGTTTTAGTATTTTCAATTTGGCCCCTCATCAAATTAGAAATTGCTCAATGGTTTCTACACAATTTTATTTTCATGACATATGCCTTTAGCCAAAACTTTAATTTAGTCAGATTATTTTATTATTTGGCTTAATAAATAATGACCCTAACACATTTAAATTATGTATCATATATATGACCCAAATTTTGCCAACAATCTCCCACTAGTCACAAATATATATGTCCTTACAACCTTACAAATGTGTTAGACTTTATGAGTTCAAAATTGTCATTATATTCTTTTAGCATACTCCAAAAGTCTTGTCTATTAATCATATTAGGATATAGAATCAAACCAGCTTTTCATTGCATCATCGCAACTAAAACCAACAATGATTACTCATCCTGACATAACCAAATGACATGGATTCATCATGAAATGTGTAGCATGAAAAATTACGTGAAGGTGATCTGTACACGTCTATTTTCAACTGGTCCAATCTTTAACTTATCGAGATCGATATAATATCCTTAATGTACAAAGTATAATGAATGAACGAAAAAAACGCATATCTATAGATAACCAAATATGTCCAAAAATCAATGTATACATATATGAAATTAAACATAGAACATAAAATATATGAAAGTGACTAACTCCCACTAAACCACAAATTCCTCAAACTGTAAAACACCCATGTGAGCAACATGCTCATGAAAGACCTT